CTTTCTCGCTTTTCTTGGAACTATCTTGTGTCCTTTGGGTGCTGGCTTGTCTGCGTAGCTGACTCTTTCCACAGCTAGCCAAAATTCTTTTGCGTCAGGACTTCGTAGTCCAATAGGTCCAAATTCACAGTCTCCACAGACCAGGATCTGGAAATAGATTCTCAATGCCTGCCTCAGAGAAGCTATCGTAGTCTCTTAGCCGCGCGACTGTGATGAACAGCGTTTATAGCCATGTTGAGCGACATCGCGACTTAATTTTAGTACTCGGATGCTCACTGATCATAATCATTTAAATACAACAAATTGGCAGTTTTCCACTTCATGAGCGTTAATGAATCAACACCAGTGCTTAAGACAGAATCGAACAGGCAAGTGGTAGACATCAAATGGTCAGATCGATAAGATCTCTGCACCGCCAACCATAAACGCTATCTCAGACTTCATATACTAACTCAAGGGATGACGTGAAGAACAAACCTTTTTACCGTCCACCATGGGCATAGCATAGCCAATCGTATCGAAATCAAAGTCATCATTCGAGTGCCACCACCATGAAATCTCCTCGGTGTCGGTCGTATTTTTAGCACCAGGAGTCATTATTGGGAGCTTGGCCTTGTAGCCGCCTGAAAATGAGAGAGTCGACTTCATATGGAAATATAAGGATATTTCGTGAGGAACGAGCCTTCGCTGTTCCTGAATTTAATGACAGTAGCGACAAATCGAAAAGCTTGGACTATACCTGGCGCAATCGTTACCGGTGATTAAGCTACATAAGGCAGGCTGGGACAACTGGCTGAGATGTATCTAGACGCAATATTCCGCGGGAAAAGGAAGGACTGTTTTGATAGTTCTTTTGATTTGGTGGCAGAAGACTAGCCTAAGTAGTGAATGGATGGCATTCTCCTGGTGCAAGTGGAAACTTGGGTGGACTACTGTAAACGCTATGCGACAGCGGGCAGCGCTATTTCAATTTCGGGTATTAATCGGATGAATGCACGCGTTCCATCCAGCATTGCATAGACGGATCAGCATACTGGAAACTACAACAAGATGCGGGCTTCCTTAGGAATATGCTTAAATAGGGAGGGCATGGAAAAAGGTAGGTAGGGACGCTGAGTGAAACTAAAATTGTGCTCAAATTCTAGAGCTTTTCCTCGTTCAAGCTCGTGAGCTTATGGAGCGTTCATAGTTGGCGATCGTACGTGCGATTAGGCGATTAGGCGAGGCGATTAGGCGATGATTCAAAATGAAAAGTATACGTATCGATTAGGCGATTAGGCGAGTAGGCGAGTAGGCGAGTAGGCGATTAGGCGAGTAGGCGAGTAGGCGATAAGAGAAGGATACGTATTGATTTGATGCTCCGCCCTACTCGCCTACATCGCTCTGTGGGCGGAGCAAACCAAACAATACGCATGTAGTCTTCCCTGCCTCGCTACGGCACCTCCACACCATCCCCCTCAAGATAGCGTTGCATTTTGTTCTAACTGGAATATACCTTCCAGAAGGTCTACTTTGTCCTCAAAAAGTATGAGAGAGTCACATCGTCGGCAAACGATTGACTGCCAGTTCTTGTTGTCCACATTGAGAAGATTAGCTCGATTAACCTGAAAAGGGCATACTTGACCACTACCGAGGTCACTGGTCAATTCAACACTCACCTTCTCTCGCCTTCCTGTGACCTTCTTCAGGATAATTTCTTCCGGTACCGCCTTCAACTGGAAATCCATCTGGAATAGGGTTACCATTAATGAGTATGCATAAGGCGATCCCATAATTGGCTGGGAAAAGTGCAAGAAGCTCTACTCACCTCAAAAACTTTAGATTCGCATACAAATTATACAGAACCACAGCTTAGTTAGATGTTTACACGACTGAATCACCCTTAAGTACTCGAAGGAATCACTAGAAAACGCCCGATTCGAATATGTTGAGGGTTGTGATATTGATAACATCGTCGTTGATTACCCCATGATGAGAACTGGGGTACACCATTGTGTCAAGGAAGTGTCTGAGTCAATCCAGTCAGTCCAACCATTCGTTTCTGGCTATTTTTGAACATTCCACTTACCAGCTGAATCTTTGACTATCAACAAAGCTATTCCTTGAAGAATTCTTGCATTCTTTCCCTGTGAATACGTCAGGTGTGCTGGAGGCAACGAAAAAGTTTCATGCTGAAAAGTCTCCAAAGCGGCGAAAAGCATTGCTCATTTCGCTTCTAAAACATCCCGGAGACTAGGGGAAATGGGAGCATGGGTACAGCATGAGTCTCCCTGTCATGCATCATTATACAGTGCGTTTCAAAAGTATAAAGGCAGCTCTGAAAACTGCTGTTCCAGATTAGGATGAATGATCCATGACTTGCTACCGATTTTATCGAATTCTGCTCCCAAACTATAGTCGACTTTGATCCAGAACGAAATATAAACTACACATCACATCAACAATAAGAAATTTTGAAAACCCCTCTTCAAAGAGTATAAAAACCCTGGACAATAGGATTCAACAATAACATTTGTGCTCTTGTGAATGAATCAATAATTTTTTTGAGAAAGCCAGTCATCCAAGCACGAACTACGCCATATCCAGCCAACCGCTTTCCAGTTGCACCACGTCAGTCAACCAGATAGGACTGGAGTCTTCGACATCAAACATCACCGTCTGGAAAACTGCCATCTCAACCAGGGTGAAAATCGTGTCGAGGAAATGGTCGCAGAAGTACGACCCCCCCCCCGAAATCGAGATCCTGGCACGACCCCCTAAAACAGAGCAACGCAATTAATTCAATCAAAATAAAAAATCCTGCAAAAAAATAAATTGAAAAACTCGTTCTCTTATCTTCTTTCTTATTTATTTATTATTGATTATTTATATTTCATTATGTTTGCTATCTTTCTCTCATTTTATACACTTTGTTATCTCATCGCTGCCACACTTTTTGTGTAATTTGCTGTACAAAATAGGCTCTGAGGGAAAGTATAGCACCAACTTTTTTGTGATCATAAGGCACGTCCTTTAGGAGTGCACAGATATCCCAAGGCGATGCTTAGCTCGATGGGAATCTAATTCCGCTTGGTACAATCGCGCACAGACCAAGTGATCTGAGAATCAACGACCATCACGCAGACTCGGACGCATTTGTCCTATGGGTCAGAGTGCGGAAATGCGCGAAAAATAAACTCGACGACCAATCTACACAGCTCGATGAAAAGGTTCCATCCTCCATTTCCTACCTTTTGACACTCGCACAATGTAGATTAGGATAAGCAGCAGATGTGTAACTGTCAGACTTTATATAGCAAATGTCTATGGAATGACCCTTCTATTCGAAGAACATTACGGTCTCTCAAACACCGTTCGAGTTGGAACGCCGTGGCATGCTTGCCTATCTCATGCGAGGTTTTCTGCCACCATTTGAAATGAAGATATCTCTAATTTGCGTAACACACTGAAAAGACGAAGATCATTTGGGTTGAGGGCCGGTAACGCTTCTAACAGTATGGTTTACACTTCCTCCCAGTTTCCCCTAGTTTAAAAGAGATATTTGCGTCGAGTATATGTTAAAGGCACAACCCAGGCAGAGGTCGTGTGAACTCTTCTCTTCGGTCAGAAGTATAGAACCCTAGGGGACAATCACAAATGTGGCGTTCACGTGCACGGAATTCGACCGACAAGAACGCTTTGGGCTTGCAAAGTAAGCTGCTCGAGCTGCAGCGAACGAGCTCTCTTATCAGGCCGTTGTCTGGTGCTCTCTCATCTGATGCGCTCTCTCGCCCCATACTCTCCTCTTCGCGCTTAGTCTCTCGTTCCTTTAGCACAGCCATTAGGAAAGGTGAGTGAGCCCTCAACGTGGGTGTTTCGGGGGGAAACCGGAATTCTTTTCTTCTTTTCTGTCACGGCAGCCCACGTTGTTGCCACCGATACATTCACATTCTTGTGTCACCCACCACCAGTGCGATGCTGGGGCATGCCTCTTAAGGGACGACTCTCGGCCGCTCAGAAATTCGCTCATTGCAAGTGTAATTCGTTGGCAACGCTCGAAATGTGTCTAGAATACATTCTTCCAACATAAGCAATAAGAAAAGGGGCAATCGTCATCATCCGATTTTGTCTGGTATAGGCCATGCATCCGACCTCCACTCAAGTTGCAGAATCGATTGAAAGGTGTTATATGATCATGACCAGTTGACAGAAGCTGCATTGTAGTAAACACATTTCGTAACTCCTATAACCTGAGGAACAGCTTCATTTGCCCAGGGCTTTCCTTCACGGTTGTCGTTTTTGCGACAGCGGTCCCTAACAACAGTGTCATTCTCAAAGAGGTATTAAAGGCAAAGGTCGGGCTCAGACACGCTAGAGAAGTAATTCCCGTGCCTGGAGGTTGTATGTGGGTAGCTGCACACATTGCAGCAACTTCCCACCTTGAAAAACCCCGTTAAGGCCCCGGGGCGTTCGGTTTCAATCCAGGGCCGCCTGGTCAATCCAGGACCGCCCACCCTCCGGAAGTGGTGCGTGGCTGGCATAACGTGTGAAATCAGCTAGGTTGATTGCCGTATCAACCGATAGAACGACTGACATCTCCAGAAAACTTGTTTGTACCTCTTTCCCCAAGCCAGCCTCCTTCACTGCTAGTGGGAAAGAGGGTTTTGTTAACGGCCTTGTCGACGGTTTTTCTCAGTTTTTTCTCCACTGTCGTTCCACTTCGCATCTCTATACTCAGTTTCAATCGCCATAATACCCCCTTATTGAGCCCGACTTTTGCCTTTAAAGGAGAGAACGGGCGATGGATGGAGGATGTTTCTTTGCAGCGCGTGTGCACATGTGGCCGTCTTTCTTGCAGGAATGCACTTCCATATTTCAACTGCTTTCAAATAGGTCCCTCCCATGTTGATACTAGAGCGTTCATACTCGCAAATGTCATGTGGATGGGACGGGAACATTGTTGGTGGGTGATGAAAGGTGAAGTGATTGCAACTGATAAGGGCTGATAAGGGGCGTCAGAACGCAAAAGTCGTCAATTCTGTCAAGTAACTCCAGTTGACACTAGAGCGTCCATACTCGCAGGTGTCATGTGGGGTGGGACGGGGACATTGTTGGTAGGTGATGGAAAGTGGTTACAACTGATAAAGGCTGATAAGGGGCGTCAGAACGCAAAGTCGTCGATTCCGTTACGTAGGCTTGCGCTGACACTAGAGCGTCCCTACTTACAAATTCTATTAGGTTGTCTCGAAAGTTCGTGCGTATTTATTGGATCTCATGCCACAAGCTCCTTCAACAAATTCTAAATATGTTCACGTAGGCTGTAGATAGGGCACACCGTGTAGTAAATTATACCCGAATCTTACCCACCATCGTCGCCTTCTTCGAGCTCAAAGTGGAAAGAGAGAAGAGCTATGTTTTTCGCGCTGAGG